TTGAGTCATTCTTCTGAATTACACTGAGGGCTTTATTGTCCCTGGCCATGGCAGGGGGTTAGGGTTGTGCCTCAAAGACTTGCCCATGTGAGACCTGGAAGGTCAAGGCACATCTGCTGGAGCCAACAGCATCCCAGGGCCACATCCTTCCAGCCAAACCTGAGATGATTCAAGGACTGGAGCATCTTTCATATGAGGAAAGGCTGAGGGAGCTGGGCCTGTTCAGCCTGGAGAAAAGATGACTCAGAAGGGATCTGATCAATGTTTATCAATATCTAAAGGGAGAGTGTCTGGAGGATGGGGCCAGACTCTTCCCCAACAATAGGACAAGAGGCAATGGGCATAAACCGCAGTGTAGGAAGTTCCACCTGAACATGAGGAAGAACTTCTTGACTGGGAGGGTGACTGAGCACTGGGACAGGCTGCCCAGAGAGGGTGTGGAATCTCCCTCCCTGGAGATATTCAAAATATCCTGGTTCCTATGCTCTAGGAGTCCCTGCTTGAGCAGGGTGGTTGGACTAGATGTGACCTTCAGAGATCCCTTCCAACCTCAATCAGTCTGTGATTCTATGAAACCTGCCTGCAGGTCCCAGCACGCTCCAGTGTCCACCTCCTGCCAACTCTGGAGAAGTTTCTGCCTCCTTTGCAGATGGCCTGAGCAAAGAGCTGGACCAAGAAAGAAACGCTCCACCACCCTTCTTCCTGACCACACAGACGTGGACTTCGTGCCTGTAGCTGACCCAATCCAACTGAAAAGCAAACAAACTGGGAGAGGGAACGGGCTGCTCTGACCTCCAGATATGCCACGTCTCTCCATTTCCTAGATTTCTCATGGCAGGGGGGTTGGAACTGGATGATCTTTAAGGTCCCTTCCAATCTAAACCAGCCTGTGATTCTCCCAGGATGAAACGTGTCCCTTGTTGCCAGGAGGGTTCATCTCTTGCTCATGGTTAGACCGGACTTACCACACTGTTTAGCCTGCTTGGATGATGGAAAGATTGGAAAGATGGATGATTGGAAGAAGGATGATGAGAAAAAAAAGCCCAAAACCCAAAATTTTCCTGCTGGTCTGAGCAGGGAAATGAAAAAATGAGGGTCTAGCAAGATGTGTGGCACCTTCCTCTCTCCAGCCATTCCATCCCAGCCTTGGTTAATTAATGCCCCACTTGTTATCAGCCTCCAGCTCCTGTTTTTCTCCATGGATGTATCTTGGCACTTTCAGTGTAAACTGAACTTCGTTTTCCCTTTATCAGGACCGGCCACTCCGTGCAGGGCTTGGCCAGCGTTAATGAGAAACCAACGCTCTGCCCTCCCCTGGGTGGAATAAGTGACCTTTTGATTGTGGTTTAGCAAAGTGTGGGTCCCAGCTGTGGAGGTCTCAAGGTCAAGGAAAATGCTGATAGATTGGGGAGATGGCTTTGGGTTATTGTTGGACCTGGGAAGCCCCTTTGGCTCCACATCGGCCAAGAAAGGGCTGGGTTCAAGCTTGGTTTTAAGAGGAGATGGGCAGGATGTTACTGGACAGCTTCACCACGTCCCTGCTCACCAGAACAAGGGCTGTGAGTGTGGCCATGGAGGAAATCTGTGGGTCTGACTTGGTGACTTTTTTTTTTTGCCCTGTCTGGGACCTCCAGCTTCAGGAAAAAATTCTGTCAGAGAAGTAATGACCATGAAGATGGTCATCTGCAAAGTCTCTCTCAGGCAAAACCCTGTCATTCTTCTGGGCTCTCCAGACACCTCACTGAGCAGCCAACACCCAAGTTACCTGCTGTCACATCACGTTCCCCTCCCCAAGTCTGGCCTGGAGCCTGCAGTCTCTCCAGGGAGCACTTCATCCATGACACAGGCCAGCTCTTGTCTTGCTGGAGATGTGGTTTAGCTCCAGCCATGCCCTGACACCCTTCCTGGTTGTGATGGGGCAAGGAGAAGACAACAAAGTTCCAGGGCAAGGAGAAGACAACAAAGTTCCTTGTGTTCCCACTCAGGGCTCCTTTCCCAGGGCTTTGCAGAGGGAAGAACGTACAATTTGTGAGATCTTTGACCATCTCAGTCATCGCTCCCTGCCTCAGTTTCCCCTTGGGCAGCACCTACAGTCCTTATCCACCCTGTGTCCTCAAGCTCTGCTCCCCAGCACCCTCCCCACTCCCTGACATCCTCCAGGCTCAGAGCAGCAAGGATTTCCACCCCAGCGCTCACCCTCATCACCCTATAACCACTCTCTTCCAGGAGACACAAGCTTTACCGGGAGGAGCTCAATCTCACCTCCCCAGCACCACCGCTGACACTCCGGCCAGAGGCCAGTTGGCTCCAGTTCCACTTGGGCATCAGCCGGGATGGGCTCTACCCACGCTCCAGCCCCGTTGTTGACAGGCTTCTCCGGGACATGCAGGACTTTGCCACTATCAGTGCTGGTAAGTACCCTCCTGCTGCAGGGTCAGAGTCACAGAACGTTGTGAGTTGGGAGGGACCCACAAGGATCATCAGGTCCAACTCCTGTCCCTGCACAGGACAAGCCCAACATTCACACCATGTCCCTGAGGGCCTTGGCCAAATGCTGCTGGAATCTTGTCAGGCTTGGTGCCATGAGCACCTCCCTGGGGAGCCTGTTCCAGTGCTCCACCACCCTCTGCCTCAAGAACCTTTTCTTCATGGCCAACCTCACCCTCCCCTGCCACATCTTCCTGCCATGCCACGGGGATGGGGCTGGGGATCTCCAGCTCCCCCAGGTCACTTTTGCAAGCAAGGCACGGGTTGTCACTCACTGGAAGAAGCTCTGAGCCCTGTGCTGGCCTCCTGGCACATTTCGTGCTGTGCACTTGCCATGGCCCTACCTTGAGATGGGAGGAAGGATTCAGATGTGGCCCTTGATGTGGCATTTTTTGGTGCCAACCACTCCAGGGCCCCATAGCACAGTGGTTTAATCCCATCACAGTGCCCCCCTGCATGCCACATGCTGGGAGGGGGGTCAGCAGCAAGAGATGGAGCTCAGCAGGATCTCACCACTCCTCCTGTCCTTGCAGACTACAGCCAGGACGAGAAAGCGCTGCTGGGAGCCTGCGACTGCACCAAGAGTGAGTGTGTCACTTGGGGTCCCTGCTGTCCCCCCGCACGCCATCGCTTCAGCTGACCCCGGTCCCCCATCCTCACCTCAGCGAGGGGAACCTACAGCCAGGCAATGCCAGACCCTTCTGCCTCCAGTTAAACCCCACCAACAGCAGAAACTGGGATGTCATAGGTTCATCGAATGTTGTGAGTGGGAAGGGACCCACAAGGATGATGGAGTCCAACTCCTGTCCCTGCACAGGACAATCCCAACATTCACACCATGTCCCTGAGGGCCTTGGCCAAATGCTGCTGGAATCTTGTCAGGCTTGGTGCCATGAGCACCTCCCTGGGGAGCCTGTTCCAGTGCTCCACCACCCTCTGCCTCAAGAACCTTTTCCTCATGGCCAACCTCACCCTCCCCTGCCACATCTTCCTGCCATTTCCTCTGTGGGGCTTTGCCGCGTGCCGGGGAGATTTTCCAGGGTGGTGGCTGGTGCCTAATGTCCTCTTTCCTCCCCAAGTTGTGAAGCCCAGTGGTGTGCACCTGAAGCTGGTCCTCAGGTTCCAGGATTTTGGGAAAGCCATGTTCAAGCCCATGAGGTAAGGGACAGCAGCAGAGTCCCCCACCAGCCCCCCAAGTGTGAGTGTCCTTGGCAAGGACAGCTCCACCACAGCCACATCATTTCTCTCCTGAGCTCAGCTACCTGGAGAGCTGAAAAGGTTTCATTATTATTGGCTGTTCACACCATCCCAGAGACATGTGCAGATGGACACCAGTGTTCCCACATGGCTTCTTGACGTTGCATCCCTTGGATCCCACACTGCCTCTTAACACTGGACATTTCTCCATTTGCAGATGCCAGATGGTGAAGGACCTTGGGACACTTGTTCTCCTGAGAACTTTGCCGTTAGGTTCTGCCCATTTCTTCCTCTTCCCTGGCTGACTTTATGTTTTACCTTATTTCTCCTTGGATTCCCCAAAGTATTTCCAAGAAATAGCCATCAATCCTAGTCATCTCAAGCAAGAGTTTTAAATTGCTCCTGCACTTATTTCTAACCCCTTGAGACTTGTCATATTTATTCTCCTTCCCTTTACTTTCTGTGCACAAGCAACTGGGATGGGTTGCTCATCCAGAAAGCAGCCAACTCCTCTTCTGTTGGTTTCTATCCACCTCTGCCCCATGTCCAGCAGGTCTGGGAGGGGAAGGAAAGAGCCAGGAGGACTCAGCAATGCTTGTGGGATTTCTTGAATTCTGCTGAGCACACAAATTCCCACGCTGCACGTGTTGGGACATGGTGTGACAGCCAGAAAATGAAACGAGCTGCTGGTAGTGTTACTGTCTCAAGGATCTGAGAACATCAAACCTGAGCTCTTCTCTGCCTCCCATGGGGATGGCAGAAGTGTGGCACAGCCTCTAGCATCCCCCACCCAAAACACCATCCTACACAAGTGGATCTAAACTCTGGCACAAATGGTTTTAAAGCCCAGATCAGCTGTTCTGCCTCCCTCAACCATCAGCACCAAGACAGAGCTCAAGTGCTCAAGGTTAACCCCTCGCTCTCTCCCAGGCAGAAACGTGAGGAAGAGACTCCCGAGGACTTTTTCTACTTCGTTGACTTCCAGCGGCACAACGCTGAGATCGCCGCCTTCCACCTGGACAGGTAGGAGCCTGTCACACTGCACACCTCCTCTGGCTGCCAGTGCCCAGTCCTCTGCCCGTGGAGAGCTTGGGCAGGAGGAAAGCCATGCTGAGCCCTGCAGAGCTTCTCAGCCTTAGATAAGAGATTGCTCTGCAGCACCCTTTTGGGAGATGATCGGTTGTTTGGGGATGTGGCGGCTCTGGCTTCCAGCTGAAGCCCAGGAGTCAGCGTTGCCTTGGCCAATGCAGGAGAAAAGGTTGGCAGATGAAGTTCAGGCTGCAAACAGGTCAGGTATTTGCCCAGCTGTCACCCAGCCACACACACATGTGGTCCCTCCCGTATGTGGAAGTCCAAAGTAGCCCCTCACTCCAAGAAGGACATGGAGGTG